CCCACTCATGAACCCTCATACCCGCATGGGTCCTTCCTGAGCCCCTGCTTGTGGCTGGGCCAGCCCTGGACCTGGGGTCTGGATGGAGAAGGTGGAGAGGCCTGAGGGCCTTTCTCTGCTCCTCTCCCTCAACCCTGAGACACTAAGATCCCCAGCCAAAGCCATGTCCACTGGAGGAGGCAGCAGACTGGGCCTGTAGCCCTGTAGTCAAGGATTTGTCTTCACCTGCTACCCCTGGGTCTTCAGGCTCCCATTCCATCCCTCAGAGGAGCAGACAGGTGCAAATAAACAACAGGCTTTATTAGAACATAAAAGACTATATTGAGTTGAAGGTGCACATCTATAATTCAGCGCTTTGGAGGTGGAAGCAGGAGGATCAGGAATTCAAGGTCATCCTTGACTACATATTAAGTTGGAGGTCAGTTTGGGGGAGACCCTGTCTCAAAAACCCAATGAATGAATGGATGAATGAGTGAATGAATGGAATGAATGAATGAGTGAATGAATACAAAATAGAAAAGGCTAAGCACAATCTAAATATAAGACAAACTGGAACAGACTAAAACTAGGATTTCCCAATGATTTTATTGAGGTAACTTTTCCCAGTTTTATACATATATATGCATATACATACACTTAGGAAAGCTAAACAGTGTTCTAAGGCACTTGGAATTGTGCACAGCAAAGTATTCTATTTATTATATTACTAGATAGAGTACAATTTTCTTTTTAAATAACACAAACACCAGTATGGAATAAAAAAGATAATACAGGTTATGTCACGGAATACATATATGTATAGGTGTGTATTGGCAGATAGTTATACCCACATACCATCATACAGTATGGATTAATAACAACGACCAAGTAGAGAAACTGTCATGTTTATCCATGTACAGTTCCAGTTATGTACACCCACAGATAGCATACCTGCATTCGGACTAGATCACTCACTGGAAATCTGGACTCATCTAGCTATTCTCACGATGATCACAGTTTACCACTGGTATCACTTTAACCAAAGCTTGAACTAACAAAGGAACACACATAGTCCATTATTTGAAAACCACTGTTATTTAGAGAAAAAAATGACTAGTTTGAATTTTCAGTCGGTATTTAACTGGTGAAATCTGTGTAGAATGCTTTGAACCCACTGGCACATTTTTAAGCCACAGAAGAAATACTAAGTAATTAGTGCCTATATTTGAAGTGATGAAAGTGGTTTGACCCTCAGTTCACTCTGATTCTTTCCAAATGCTACTTAGCAATACAGTGGCAATTTCTCATGGTGGGTGCTCCCTATGCAACGTAATGATATAGTTCAAAATTACAATGAAAGCATCCATAAAGGGAAAGCCCCCCTCAGTCGGCAAGTGGCACAAATATTATTGGCATTTTAATATACCATAAAATTGACCTGAGGGTGGAGTGGCATTCTACCTCACTTACTCCTTTCGATTTATTCTCTTTAAAAAAATACTGCTATTAAGAAAGATAAGAATTTTTAAGCACCATCTATAGGTTTACAGTATAACCACCTTTATTGACTCAGTTGTTCTGCCTCAAAAATTTTTTTTGAACTTTAATGTTAAAAAATTATAGTGGGATAAATTAACTCCATTCATCAAGCCATAATTTATCCAAATAATTCCAAGACATATTGACCATTCAAAGCCAGTGACACAAAGGATAAGTATGTTTCTGTCTAGTTGGCACAGTTTGATCGTACAGCACCTGGGAAAAACTTACCTTATTTTGTATATGCCTATCTCTGCAGTATACAACAATATGTGTGCAATCTACCGTTAACCTACATTTCCATCACACACATATCTTATTTGAAAAGTTGAACCATAAGGATATGTTTACCCAGGAGAGTTTGACCATTTCCATGTGGATTAAATGCTATGTCAATAGGAGGAAAAAGAGACTTCTTTGGAAAGAAGTTTCTTTTATGCGCTACCAGGTAAAATCCAATGGTGACTTCTACAGGCCATCTGTTTTGCTCATGTGGATTGTTAAGGAGTCACTGTGTTTGTGCTTAACTCTTGCAACTGTCAGTTTCTGTAACATTGATAAGAACTATGGTCAGCAGTCTAGCTCTGAAGTAAAATTATGAGGTGAGGAACAAAAGCTTGCTTCATGCAAAATCTCTCCTGAAGTGCATAGAAGGACCAGGCCAAGTCACTATACCCACCACCCACTGTAATGAACAAGGCTGCTTGGTAACTTCCCTCCTATAGAACAGGCTAATTAAAGCTACATCAAATAAGAAGGTTTGAAAGAGAAGGGGGGGGGTCAAAGAAATGCAAGGCAGTAGAGACAATATTTCAGGATAGGGGCTTTCCCCACTGTATCTTTGTTGTAGTAGATCCTGGTATCTAGGGAAGGAGATGCCACCTTCCTATGGCAGTATACAGATACGGGGGAGGGCTTTCTGCATTTGGTTTTCACAATGACTGGGAACAATCCTGGCACGGAGTCAGCAGGAGCCTGGGATACCGAACATCTTGCAACATGTGGGACATTCCTGTACAAATGCCAACAGCACCCCCACTGAGAAACATCGATCAACAGTGCTTTGCTCATATGCAGCTGTGCTGAAAAGCAACCAACTAAATGACATTTTCCTGCAGTAAAATCCAACATGGCTAAAACTGTCCCTTTCCTACAGGGCTGGCTTTAGGTGGGACTAGCCATCATGGGAGTCTTTGCCAAACACATTGCAACATATAAAATGGGATTTCTTAATTTGGAATGAAGCTGGCCTCAAAAAATATAGGCGGACAATACTGTAGTTGCTTTCTAGAAATGCTAATAGTGGTTCACACCATCAAGCAGGGCTTAAGCTTAATAAGTACAAGAAGCAATGAAAGCGAAAACGAGAAGGTTTGGGGTTTTCTGCTGTTGTCTTTATTACCCTTCGGTCACTGTTTGCCTTTGCAGTGGGGCCTAAAGTCCTTCTTTGGAATTTTGAGTTATGTATCTTTCTTTCAGGAAGATACTCCCATTTATTTGACGATTGCTTTCTTTTGTCATTGTTTTCTCTTCTAGCACAAATTTGAATTCTGGAGGTTCATTCTGCTTTGTTAAGCGCAAATCATATCATCAGTAAGTAGACAGCAAATACAAAAGATTAATCATTTTAAGGGGTAAAGGGACAATTTTGTATATAAATTGTATGTACACTTGAAAGGTGAAGGACTAATGATCTCAAAAGAGCTTCTTTCACTGGTAATGTTAATAAAATCAGGACTTAGGAAGGCTTAACCACTCTGCCACATTAATGAGAATGACATCCATATGTTTTGTATTAGTTTAAGTCCCTTTCACCCATGCTAAGGAAAATTCCTTACTTTGAAAATCTGCCACTAGGACCACTTTCAAATAAGACAGGATGACACTTTGGAGTACGAAAGGAGGAAGAAGAAAAGATTCCATTCCTTAAATACAAATAGGCTGCTCTGTGGTAGACTCGTCTTTTCTATTGTTCCTGCAGTTTAATCTTTGGAAGTTTTGCCTGCTATGTGCTGATGTGGTACACATCAGAATATGCAGTGTTAATGCACATTCTTCATCTTTCAAGTATAAGCTACTGTATTTTTTTTTCAAGTGTCAATGCAGTACTGAATTAATTACAGGATACAAAGCCTGACAAAGGTTCTAAGGGTCGTGACTCATTTCAAATATCTGGTGCTTTTTGGAAAGCATGTTAAATTCTATTTCCTTAAATATATTTTCACTTAAATTTCAGAGCTTTGTGTTAACCCCAGAGAAAGATAAGTGACTATCTTCATCCCGCTAATAAGAATGGGGACAAGAAATCAGAAAGTTGGCTTTTCTGGGTAAATCAGAGAGCTAGATGTGTTTGCCTTTTCCTTCAATGAAAACAGCTATTCAAATACCCAAGTTGGTTCCTTGACCATTGTAGAGCTTGGTTAAACGATTTAAGGAATAAACATAAAGTCAAATTATAGCTAACATGAGGGCACAAGACATTTCAGCTAATAGTCAAGGTCCCTAAAGTGAATGCTGATCATCAGAGAACTAATTTTATCACACTGCCCTTTAATGACCACGAGGATGCTGATGAAGGGCACATAGCATATTCTTACAACCTGAATATCAATGGATTTCTTCCTCTCCATTAAAAAAAAAAAAGATCGAAATGGTCACTCTGGTTTTTATACTCTGTCTAGTTCTTTTCCTGCCTGGGACCTTCCTTCAGATGGGTCTGTTTTCTTCCTTCATCATATCTTAGGAAATCAGGAAAATCCACTCTCTTTCTCTTTAGTAAAATTCTGGAATTGGCTGGGCGTGGTGGCACACACCTTTAATCCCGGAACTTGGGAGGCAGAGGCAGGCAGATCTTTGTGAGTTGGAGGCCAGCCTGGTCTACATAGTGAGTTCCAGGGCTACAGGGAGACCTGTCTCAAAAAGACAAAAAATGGAATTGTGTTACAACAGCAATAAAAATAACTACAATTTTGCACACATTTCTTTATAAAATAGAAACTTACTGGTTGGGTTGCAGAAATATTGGCAGTGGGAAGAGGCATAATTGCAGGGAGAGGGGGCCGTGCCTTAAAAGCCTTCATTGGGGCTACCTGGAAGGAGACCTGGGGATGAGCCACTGGTGGGGCCATGCGTGCTTCTGCCTTTAAAAATTAACTATGAAAATAGAGCCTTCTGAAAAATACAGCTTACCTCATGATACTTTAATTCTTTCCACTGCTTTTTTAACAAATGATTGTAATGAAGTAAGTGGTGGTTCCAATTACTTAAATATTAGACTATTGGTAATTAATTTTTAGCTTTTAAACTTCTAATTTACAAATTTTTCTCTAAATGCATCAATCAGTAAGAATAAACAGTGTGTGTAGTTCATAAATCTAATATATCAGGGAAACAATGTATTGAAGTACCAGGTTTTCATGTTTGCAGTGCTGTGATTTAACCCAGGGCTTTAAGCAGGCAAGGCAGGCTAAACAGCACAGAGCCACACTCTTAGTTCTAGCAAGGAAGTGTTGTTGTTGCTTTTTTTTTAACAGAGCTGGAAGCCAGGGTCTTGTGAATATTAGGTAAGCACTGTACCACTGAGCTATACTATCCGCCCCAAGGCTCTCATTTTTGTAGTGGGTGAAGTAAAAATCACATAATATGCACCACTAGTGGGGGAAAAGATTATTCCTTTTATCAGCCAAACAGAAACTTTCTATGACACATACGTTGAGTGATAAACTGGTGTTAATGTCTAGTTTTTACAATTACACAGAGAATATAGAGTTAGAAATTTGAAAATGTTCAGGGACTATAAGAATGGAAGAAGAAACATTATATACCTTGGTATTTTTCTCAAGATACTATAACGGTAATAAAATATCATGAAGAAAATAAGTTCAAAAACAAGAACAAAGTCTTTATGGCTGGATAGAAACACTATAAAACAAAGGTGACGGGGGGGGTTGTAGCTCAGTGGTAGAGACCACATCTAGCATGCACAAGACCCTGCGTTCAATCTCAGCACTGCAAAACAACAATAAAACTAAACATAACAAAATAAACTCTTAGCCAAAGACAGATAAGAGGGCACACATAGATATAAATCTATCTATCTATCTATCTATCTATCTATCTATCTATCTATCTATCTATCTATCTATCTATCTATCTATCTATATTTTAAAGCACAGTATGTCTTATGCTATTAGTGAAATGATAATAGTGCAAAATGCAGGTTTCTTTCATTACTGCGAATAGCTGAGCATAGCAAGAGGTGCAGTAATGGTGGATACTCATATAAGAGTCTGTCTTTTTATAACAGGCCAACTTCAGCTAACCATTTTTAGTTTTACATGAAATCATCCAATTTCAAGTGGTTCTTCCAAATACCAAGGAATGGCAGGATCTAGACTTATCCCACACATTAAATGCTGACTTTTCAGTTGAAATTGAAAATTATAGTCTTCCACATTCTGAACCATAAACATTTCAGAAAAAAAATAGTTCCAGCTCAGGAATAAAATAGACTCTACATAGATTCTGCTTTTTTAAAAAAAATCATTCCATATGGTTTTAATCAAAGGGGCTACGAAACAACTGTTAAAGACCAATGCAAGGCAAGGTAATATTCACAAATGAGCAGATGCATTTGGGATCCCATGCTCAGGGCTGGTGCCAGAGAGAAGAACAATGTAATAGTGGAGGCTTCTTAATGTAAACAATAGTGACTGTGGGCTCCTAGGGGAACTGTCTGCAACTTGCATCTCACTGCTTCTCTGGCATTGAAAGTAAATATTGTACATATGGACGTGATCCACAGATTCAACATGAAAGGTAAGATTTTCCTCACACACAGACTAGCAGAGTTTTCTGTGATCTTTTAAGACTTGGGGTATTTTCTTCATCCGTGTGCTTGATTTTTTTAAAATAGCAACAACCTAACTTTTTTTAATGCAGCATTGAAAAATAACTGGTCTTTTTTTTTTATTTCCCCTTAGAACTAACAGCAAGCAGTACACACTTGTATGTCACAACTTTGAATTCAGTTTTTATAAAGGGTGTCATGATTGTCAATACAGCCTTCTTTAGATCAAGTATGGTTGCTTGCCTTTGGAGATTATGAAGACAGGGAAGAAGCAGAAGATTTTTTTTCTCTAAAGCTTTCAACTCGTTACAGGGTTACGCTATGTCTGACCTCGTTTCAGGTTCTCTTACCCTTGTGGAGGGCTGATACATTAGGAAAGCAGAGAAAATGTCAAGTGTGGATAGCTGTGCTACTTAACACATGCAACACAGTGTGGGTAAGCATGCTTGGAAGAATCAGGAGAAGCTTCTTGCATTTAATAAAAAGATGCATGAAAACATTCAGACTTATTTCTGGCAACTGGATTCACTGGCACAACATAAAAAAATGGTACTACACTGCATCAACTTAATGGTGAAGCAAGAACGTTCTAGGATCAAGTCTTTAAGGAATCCACATTAGGTGCTTAGGTTTCCCAAATCCCTTTATAGGTTCTCAGCTACCAAATGCCTATTCAAAAATACACATAATGCTATGCTTCACTTTTTCTTTTCTTCATTAACATAATGAAACCGTTCTCTTTTTGATTTTCAACTCCCACCCTGTTGTGGTGACCTTTAGCCATTCCAATTCCCATTTTTCTTTGACCTGCGTGCACTATACCATTTGGCTTTCTGGTAGTTGGGAGCTGGCAATGGTTTCCTGCTTATCTTCTTTGAGTAACATTCCTGATGAAGAACAGCTGAGAGAACCAAAGTGCCCCTTACCATCAGGGCACATTCCGGGCAGAAAGGCTTTCTGTGTTCTGCCCTTGATTTGCTGGCCTGTCTGGGCCTTACAGGTAAGGAATGCTTTTGACCAAAGCGGAGTCACATGCCTCCTTCACCACAATGAACAAAAAGACACACATTCAGATCTCAGTGCAATGTCAGGTTTTCAGGAAGCAGGGCTTCTGCAGAAGTTGGTCAGTCTCATCTTTCTGAACAGTCCCACACTTTGTTATGGACGATGAAACCTGGAGTAAGAGAGACACCATGAGATCTGGTAGAGGAGTGTACTCTGTGTTTGGCAAAAGAAGTAAGGCATGGATATCACCAACTGAAGCACTGTGAAAGTTCTGTGGTGACAGACTACTCATATGTATATTGTTAGAAAGCAGAGTTAATCCTTGTATACAAGATGCTAGTTATTCAGGTCCATAGATCAATCAAGACAAAAATCACTTGCTTGAGGGTCATGTGTCAGGTATGGATTTGGTCATACCTAACCTAAAGATACAAAAGACAGACTATAATCACTATTCCATCAGCTTAAAGCTGAGTATGGTGGCACACACTTGTCATCCCAGTACCTGGAAGGTAGTGACAGGAGTATTGGGAGTTCAAGGCCATCTTGACTACATGAGGAGTTCCAGTTGAGCCTGGGCTACTTGAGATACTACCTCAAAAACCAAACCAAACAACAGCCCCCCACAACAAAACAAAACGCCTTAAACAAGGTCATTCAGCCTCTTACCAGCTTCTGCCTGTGACTTAACACTGATTTTATCCATCTATATTTCTAAACGCCTGAGAGACATTTCCACCAGGATGGGCCACATGTCTCATTCTAAGCATATCCACAAGTATACAGAACTGTTTTTTTTTTTTTTTTTTTTTTTTTTTTTTACCTTTTTTTTTTTTTTTTTTTTTTTTTTTTTTTTTTTTTTGTTTTTTTGGAAAAGATTTGATGGTCTACTTAAAAAATACGTTGCATCCGGAAACCCCAGATTTGCAAGTCTCTTCTCTCCTCACCCTTCATTTCCCTTCTGTCACCAAATCTTGAACCCATTGTCTCGAATCATTCATCCTCACCAGCTTGTGCTAGCATCATTTTAGTGGGCTGCTTGTTAGCCAGCAAGCTGGCTTTATTTCCCTCCAAGAGGTTCTGAATATTCCTGCAATTTTGAAGCCAGTGCTTTTGAACATGCTGTTCCTAATTATTCCAGTTCCCTCCATTTCCCATCTGTATTTTCATTGTCAAGATCAAAGTCAAAAGATATTGTCTTCATAAAGCTTTATCTGACCCAGCTTTTCAGTCCTACTTCTGAGATTCTACATTTATGCAGCTCTGCTTAGCATTGTCTAGTTTTCTATAATCAAACGCTCATTTATCCCCATAAACCAGTCCCTGCTGTCTCTATCAAGCCTATGGTCCCCACTGTCACCAGCATTATCATTATGAAATATCAATCCCAACTATGCAGGCTCATTTTTAAAAGAATTGTCTTGTTTTTATTCTCTACAAAACAAAATTTCCTGGAGGAGAACTGAAGCCTTTCAGAACGTGGCCCAGCCCTGTATCTCCATTATGACATCCAAACCACTTGCCCCCCGGATGCTTTGTGTTTGTGTTCTCTCCTGATCTTATCTGTCCTCTATCTTCACTTTGCCCAATTTTTCTCTTTGACGTCCCTGAAGTCTCTTTTCTCTGCCTCTCAGGGAGGCATGAATCACTCCCCTCTGTGTTCTTTTGACTTTTGGTTTGTGTCAGTTATTCCTTATATGATGTGGTCTTTGTTCAGAAGACCTGTGCTGTTGGGCCATGGGAAGCTAAGGAAAGAACTGTTCTCATTCACTCCTCCACACTCATGGAACACACTATCTGGCAAATGATGTCTCTTAATCAGTGTTGTTATTTTGAATCAAAGCATTGAAAATAAAAAAATATAGAGATATAAGAAGGGCTGGAGCTAAGTGATGGAGTCCCTGCCTAGTGTGTGCAAGGGCCTAGGTTCCATCCCTAGCATCTCACAAAGAAAAAAATATAAAGAGATAAAACAAGATTGGCCAGAAGTTGATCTCTTATATTGCTTCTGTGTCTTTGATTTCCTTTTGGTCAAAAATAAGATCTACTGAGCAAATAAGTTGGCTAAAGCACAAATGTGTCTTCTTGGACCACAATCTCACACAGATGTGCTAGTCCATGTTCTACTGAGAAACAGAGGGCATTACTGGATCTGCCACCAGAGCCATATTTACCCTGGTCATGTGCAATTCTTTCCCTGTTGGGCCCTGCATACCAGGAACAAGGACCTCCATCCCATCAGCTCACCTCTGTCTAGGGTGGGATCTTTTTCTACTCTCCCAGCTGTAGACTTGAAGTTCTCTCTGATCATCAAAACCACAGAACCAGTGTTATTTCCCCAGACAACCCTTTCCTGGCCATCTAGTCTGCCCGTTCCCTGCTCCCTCCCAAGGCATCATGTTACATTTTCTCTAGCACTTGAGATGACCATCTGTTCCTTCATTTGTAATTATTTATCTCCCTCAATATATCCTAACACCTGAGGCCCAGGACCTTATCCGATGTGTTCTAAGTTCCCAGTGTTCGGAACAGTCAAGCCCACCATATGTGCTCAATGCGTAACTGCTGGAAGCAGAAACAACCAAATACATATTAAAGGGGGCAGTTAGGAAGTGATTTGATGACTCTACAAATAACTTTATAACTGAGCAGTTCAGTCTTAAGACTCTTCAATTTAATTACAAATAAATATACTAATATATAAAAGCCCAGCTGATAGGACATTCCAATATGCCATCTATGAAGGGCTAATCACAACCTGAAAGAATAATGAAATAAATTTTTGTTTTATTTAAATTTTTACTTACATTTAAATTCATTTTGTATGCGCGTGCACGTGTGTGTGTGTGTGTGTGTGTGTGTGTGTGTGTGTGTGTGTGTGTGTAGGTCAGAGGGCCACTTTCAGAAGTCAGTTCTTTTCTTCTTCTACATAAGTCCCAGGGATTGAACTCAGGTTAGCAGACTTGGCAGCAAGTGCCTTTCCTCCATTGGGCCAAATTTGCCATCCACAAACATGGAAATTCTATAAACGCATTTTAAAAGAGCAACTGGTAACTTCTCAAAGTAAACCTTTTTTGAAAAAAAGTATATGTGTTGGCAGGACGTGGTGGCGCATGCCTTTAATCCCAGCACTCGGGAGGCAGGCAAGCGGATCTCTGTGAGTTCAAGGCCAGCCTGGTCTACATAATGAGTTCCAGGACAGTTGGAGCTACAGGGAGACCCTGTCTCAAAAAGACAAAAAAGTATGTGAAGGACAGGCAGATGATAGCAGCTAACAATTACTAGTGTTTACTATGTGCTGGGTACAAGACCAAATGTTCTGTATGTATTACCTCATTTATTCTTCAAAGCATTCCTATAGAGTCGGCACCCCTATACTCCCTTTGTACAGACGTGGAAACTGAGGCCCTGGGACCCAAGTCATTTGCCTAAAACAGAGAAGTGGTAAGTGGAGGTGCTGGCTCTAGACTCTAATTTTAACTGATTTTAAATATAGACCAAGCCATGTCTTCAGCTGTGCTTTCATTCAGGGGTGGGGGGTAAGGCTGGGTTATGCTACTATCTTGTAACCATCCTGGTAGGAGAGAAGATACTTTATAGCAAGTCTTGTGCTAGCAGATTACCAAAATAATCAACTCCAAAGAATTAAATTTTCCCCAAGAATCCCTTGCTGTATAAGGGGAAGGCTGAAGCTTTGGGTCCAGCCAGAGGAGATACTTGCCTGCCAGGAAGAAATTTTTACATACTTCTCCTAGGCCAGAGCCAAGAAAATGATGGGTCAATGCTGGGTGCAACCATACCTTGACCAGTATTGTTTAATTATACACACTTCTTATTCTCTATTTAAACCCAAACCTCATGTCAGGACCTAAATGTCAGGATCACTGGACTCCTTTGTTTCTCTTCCAATTGTGGCCATATTGAACAGGCCTCTTTATCTGTTTTCACTATGACTTGCTTCTTTAATTGGTGTGTTGGGAACAGGTGTCCAAGCCTAGCTTTTTGGGGCCACCAGGGTCTAGGCTTGTACCCTAAAAACTATGGTAACACTGTGGGTAGAATGTAATAGAGGTGATTGGTAGGTTTTCCACATCTGTAAATATTGATCAATTTTGGGCAAAGTCCTGTTGGCCATCTCCAGGCTACACTTGATTGATGCAATTACCTCAGATGCTTCTACCTTTTGCCACCAGGGACAACAGATGTCAGTGAGTGTTCTCAGACTATTTACAATGACTGATGCAGCAAATCCAGAAGCAGCCACTCCCTTGGAGCAGCACACACATGCAGGCTACACACCAGGAATGAGCCCTGGGACTCCTGACAGCATGAGACATATACCTTGTACCTGTGGGGTCCTCACACTGGGAACTAGCAGCCACCGTTCAGGTGTAACTTCCCTAGGCACAAACTCATCTGATAGCAAGGGTTTATCCCTCCCAGATTTGCAGGACTTTTACCCACCAAACATTCCACAATGTCCTTATCTTCAGATGTCCTTTGGTTTTCGATTCAAATGACAAGTGTGGGGAACACTGACATAAGAGGACTTATTGTCTCATTGGTAAATGTGTATGGCATAAAGAAAGTACATGAAAAATCAGATCAGGCAACAAAGTAAGACATCAGTGCACTGGAAGAGCACTTTCTTCTAAAGTCCAGCATTTTCTAGAAAGAAAGTTGTTCTTAGTTTTCCCAAACCACCATGGAAACACTAAAATTTTCCTTTTCTATTGCACACACCATTTGCCAAAGAATCTAGGTTGGTAGTGAGTTCTCCTGGGTTGACAGCATCTCCAGGGGGATCTGAGAAAAAGGTGACCCACCAGCACTGTGTTGTAATCCTGTGAAAACAAGGCCCAGGCCAGAACTGCAGCCTTTTATATTACTAACCAGATTTTGTAAAAAAACAAAAAAGACTTGTATTTTCCTGCTCTATTTATCAGTCAAAAATATTTATATCCTGTTATATTAGGCATTGTATATATAAGTTGGGCTGTAAAATTTTATGGTCAGAGGTACTGAAAATGCAAATTATTCCTAAGCTTGTTCAGCTTTATCTCCTGAGGAAGTTCACCCATCTGAAAGAATGACAGTTTTGGCTGTACGCTTCAAGTTGGTGGACCAATAAAGAGATTTACTCTGCCCTCAGGACATTTAAGCTTTCCA